TATATATATATATTTATTTATTTATTTATTTATTTATTTATTTATTTATTTGATTTTGAAAACTCAACTTTATATTCCCAAAAAAAAAACTCAACTTTATTTAATTGATTATGAAAGTTTATAATGAAATTATTTATCCTATGATTTATATTAATTGATTATATTTTAAACAAAAATTTTAGGCTTTTACATAACCTATAGGCGTCTCTCAAATCTTGTCAATTATAATTATAATGAATAAAATTTAAGAAAAATAACATGCAATTTTAAGAGCGGCCCCCAATATAAATAAATAAAAATGTAACATACACTTTTCATCAAAAATGAAAATTAGTTTTTGGGTGACCTCACTTTTTACTCTCCTTCATCAGTTCCAAATTAAGGGTGTTAAATTGGATTTGGTTGATGAGCAACACATTAAAGTAGTCCATTATGCCATTAAAACCCACTTTAAATAGATTTAAACTCTTATGATTTAAAATTAAATTTATTTTATAAGTTTAAAGAGAAGCTATTTAAGTTTATCCAAAAAAAATGAAAAGTTTCAAGTGAATTAGACTCTAAAGGATATAGCTTCTTCTTTCCACTTCTAGATGCTCCCCTGTTCTGCCTTTATTAGATCCCCTCTTCTGATCTAGCCTTTGTCGAAACATGACTCCCTCTAGATGACTCTCAACCACCTCCCTCCTTAGAGAACCCCTTCAACAAGATTGTATCATTCTCCCTCTATAAGCTCTATCAAGCTAACAACCATAGATAAATTTAAAAAAAAAAAAATCATAGATAAAATTTTAGTGATACTCTTAATATGCTTTGCTTTTCTGAGCTTGTTACACTACCATCTTCGTCTATATGATAATTATGGTAAAGATAATAATTTAATTAGTGTGTCCTTGGGTTGATAGTGAAAGGTTTGTTTGGGTAGTGGTGAAATGATGATTTAGGATTTGGACAAATTTAATGTTGAAATTCTAAGCTACCATGGGTAAGCTTCCTTGGATAATAAGGGGAGAAACTTGAAATCAAAGATTTTGGATGTTAAGGAATTTATGTTAGTATTTTATGGATCTTGAATCAGCAGTTCAATAGTTCTAATATTTTTAATATGATTTCTCACAATAGAAAATTTTCTTTCTATAATAGCCTTTTGGCTAGAGTATCTTAGAGTTAATAGGGAGTTGAGGTCTTAAGAGGTTATGAGTAATATGAGAGAATATTTGATAGAGTTTTTAAAAGGTTAGATGTGTTTTGTGGTTAAGGGAAGCAAAGATTGGAGAATTATGTTGGTAAAGAAGAGGATTAAGCATAAAAAAGATAACTAATGACTCACAAAAGCTCTCGTTGATCAGTCACCAAACTTCACCAGAGCATAAAGCATCCACCAAAAATTTCAACATAAAGTTTGCACATAAGTAAAAAGTATTTTTTTTTTATTCAACTAATCCAAAAATGAAGTGTGGGAAAGAAAATGAAGTTTGGGAGGCTTTAAAGAAAATGAAGTGAGGGAAAACTATTAAACATGATGATATTCCAATAGAGGTCTAGAAATGCTTCGGAGATAAAGAAATTTCTTGGCTTACTAAACTTTTTAATATAATATGAAAACTAAAAAGATGTAAGCTATGTGGAGAATGAATGTGTTAATTCCTACCTTTAAGAATAAAGGTGATGCACAAGATTGTGCAAATTATAGATGAATTAAGTTAATGTATCATACTTTAAAACTATGGGAGAGTTAGGGAGCATAGGTTACAACGTGATACTAATATTTCTCAAAATCAATTTGGATTCATACTGGGTAGGTCTGCAATGAAATCCATACATTTATTGAGAGGTTTGATGGAGAAGTATTGAGAGAAAAAAGAATATCTTTATATTATATTTATTAATTTAGAGTTCTAAAAAAGAAAGGGATTAATAATGTGTATGTTCATGTTATTAGAGATATGAATGCTGGAGTTGTTGTGTTCAAACACAAGGTGGTTTGACCAAGTATTTTCCAATTTCAATTGGATTAAATCAAGAATTAGCCTTAAGCCCATATCAGTTTGATTTATTCATTGATATTCTTACTAGAGATTTGCAAGAGGATGTTCTGTGGTGTATGCTTTTTGCTGATGATATTTTTCTTATTAATAAGACCAAAGAGAGAGTTGAAGGTAAACTTGAATTATGGAGGTCAGCCTTAGAGTCTAAAGGTTTTCATTTGAGTAGATCTAAAATCGAATACATATAGTAGAATTTTAGTAGTAATATATCTAGTGGGGTTTTTGTGACTTTGAGCGATCAAGTCATTAATAAGAGTATATGTTTTAGATATCTTGATTCTTTTGTTTAGAGTAATGGTGAAATAGATGGGATATTATTAGTAGAATTCAAGTTGGATGGATGAACTGGAGGAATGCAACAGGCTTGTTGTGTGATAGAAAAGTAACACTCAAACTTAAGAGAAAATTCTATAAGATGGTGGTTATACCTGCAATGCTTTATAGCGCAGAATGTTGGCCATTAAAAGAGAAGCAATAAACTAAATTAAGTGTTGCAGAGATGAGGATGCTCAGGTGGATGAGTAACTTTACTCTTAGAGACAGGATATCAAAATGAGCATATACGTGAAAAGGTTGGAGTAGCTCCAATGGCAGATCAGGTTAGAGTGAGTCGTCTTAGATGATTTGGTCACATAAAACGGCAGCCTTCCGATGACCAGGTTAAGCGAGTAGATGTATTAGATTTAATCTATGTTAAGAAAGGTAGAGGTAGACCTAAAAAGATTTGGTCATAAAATATTAGAAATGATCTTTCTTTATTAGATATAAATAAGAATTTGACACTTAACTGGACACAATGGAGAAAAAGGATTAATATAGCTGATCCCACATAGTACGATAAAGGCTTGTTGTTGTTGCTATTGTTGCATTCAATGAATTCAAAAATATAAAACAAAGTTTTATTGATATACCTTTTCCAATCCTAGATAACTTCATAACCCTTTCTCTATGAAACACCATCTATGAAATTAGCCAAATTGCAAGTCATATGTTACCGCATATATTTTTTGAATTTGTATGGTTGGAAGATGGATTATCTAAATATGACTGCTTCCATCTGACATCATAATTTATTGTGAGAGGATAAGACTAATAGCTATGGAGAGGTAGAATAACATGGAGAGACTTTACAAATATGACAAATCTGATCAAATATAATATCAAACCATATGATTTAGGGGATATATTCACGGATAAGAAGTGTTTCAAGATATCATTGTTTAATCATATCTAATGAGGAAGGCCAGACGAAAACACTGATGTTCTCCTTCTTTTAACGTTATCTTTTTCCACCCTTTTGATAGTTTGAAGTAGTTGAACATGTGATGTAAGAGCAAGGACATGAAGAAAGACAAGGGGTTTCCAACCATAACAAAAGGTTCTCTAGCGCCTTCATAAATATAGCATCTCTTCATCAAATTAGTATTAAAAAAATGGTATCAAACTGGTACCAGTAAAATTTGATTCTGTATCATTTTTATTTTTTCCAAGAAAAGTTAAGCTTCCTTGCTGATTTTGTTTCCTGATTGATCCTGGAATAGGAAGGTGCAGGATATAAATTTTCAGAACTGACCAAACTGAATTCCTAATCTTGTCTCAGGATTAAATTTAATCACGACCGCCTGGTAACACAACAGAACTAGGTGGGATTTCATTGGGATAATCGCAGAAAAATAAGATACTCCACTAAAATAAACTTGCTCTAGAAATACAAATGAGCGGATAATCGAAGACTCGAGTACTAAATATACAGCCTAAATCATTGAAAATCATATAGGTTCGTTAAGGTTTTTTGGATTCTGAAACATCTATGATGCACAGATACGGACACGACTACGCGGATATGACATGACACGGACACTGTACACTTAAAGTATCAAAAATATAGGGCACGGAGACGAGTTGGATACGGTATTATAATTTTTATATTTTGAAAATAGCATATAAAATTTAATAATTGTAATAGTAATCATAATTTAGAAATAATAAGTCATTTAAAAAGAAGTTGGGCTAAAAAATAATTAATATTAGGTTGTCTAAAGTCGAAAGTTGATGCCATGTATAAGGCATCGAGAGAGATGATGACAATATTATCGAGAGTCGGGCATCAATATTATGCAGTAAGTATTAGGCGTCAATATCAAGAGGGCGTCTGTAGTCGATGTTGAGAGGCGTTGGCCGTAGATGTTAAGACGACGTCAAACAAAGATGAGCTCTCAAGTTGTGGGTGTAGAAATTGCTAGTGTCGAGCATCAATGTCAAGATAGTGTAAAACTTTGATGTTGAGATGGTTTTAAAATGTCGATGTTGATATCATTCATTATTGTGAAACCAAAGTCACGACCTGCCAAAGAGAAATAAAAATGAAAATATTCAATGAATGGGGTATTGAGTGCAGGTGATTGATTTGATGTTGTGGATAAGAATTAAGAAATTCAATTTTTATATTTAAAAAAAATTAAATACAAAAAATTATATTTAAAAAAAATTATAAAATATTTAAGACGCATGTCCAATTTGTATTTAATATTTTTTTAATCAGACATGTTTTCGACGTGTCTGATACATGTCGGAAGCATGTAGAGCCGAATACGTGTCAGACATTGCACGCCTCTTTGATAAAAAATGTCAGTGCATAATAGTTTAACACAGCAGCATAAAAAGGTAACTTAATTTCATCAACCATAATAGAAAGATGGTAATAAGCACTGAGCAAAATGCATTATTATTGCCCAACAGGACACCTGCATGCCCTTTATCAACTTCTCGTAGGTTGCATCCTCAAGCTCATGATAATAGTGCAGACTCCAAGCCTAGTTCAATGCTTTAAAGCAAATAGCACAACCAATACAAACTTACAGAGATTTGGCTGCAGCGATGACATTCTCTGCAGTCAAACCAAACTCCTTGTATATTTTCCCAGCAGGAGCACTCGCCCCAAACCTGTCAATCCCAATCGCTTTGCCCTTACTTCCAATATATTTTTCCCACCCAAACGTTGAGCCAGCCTCAATGCTGATCCTTGCAGAAACAGCCTTAGGAAGAACACTCTCTTTGTAATCATCTGACTGCTCTTCAAACAATTCCCATGAAACAAGTGACACAACCCTTACCCTCTTTCCGTCCTTTCTCAGTTCCTCTCCAGCCTTGGCAGCAATCTCCAACTCCGATCCAGATCCAATGAGAATAAGATCAGGCTTATTGTCTGAAGAGTTGTCTGAGATGATATATCCACCCTTCTCAACTCCTTCAAATGATGTTCCAGAAAGCTGAGGAAGCTTCTGGCGAGAAAGGGCAAGGATAGAAGGTCTCTTCTGGCTGAGAACGGCAACTTTGTAGGCACCTGCAGTCTCATTTCCATCTGCAGGCCGGAGTATCAAGATGTTCGGCATCATCCTGAAGCTCATTAGGTGCTCAATGGGTTGATGTGTAGGGCCATCTTCGCCAAGTCCAATGGAGTCATGAGTCATCACAAAGATGACTCTAGCTTGAGATAATGCCGCAAGTCTAATGGAGGCTCTCATATAATCTGTGAAGACAAAGAAAGTGGCACAGTAAGGGATGAGGCCAGGGCTATGGTGTGCAATGCCATTGCAGATAGCGCCCATCCCATGTTCTCTGACACCAAATCTTATGTTTTTCTCTTGTGGAGTGCTATTTTGGAAGTTACTATACATCTTAAGCAATGTCATGTTGGAGGATGCTAGATCAGCACTACCACCAATAAGTCCAGGAAGAACTTTAGCCAATGCATTAAGGCACTGCTGAGAGAGATTTCTGGTGGCATCAGCTGGGCTTTCAGGAGTATATACCTGTCGATAGAACAAAATAAAGTCAAATATATATGCATATATATATATATATATATCAACAATAAAGATTGGGAATCATCCAAATCACCATTATTATTATGGCAATTACAATTATCCCAAGTAATTGGCTTCTACTTTATGAATCCTCATTTTTGCTTCATTCTTATTAAGTCTATGTCTATTTTCAATTATCTTATCATAAAAATGGCAAGTCCCACTATCCCAAAAAATAATTATTTCTCAAACATTTTAATTTTGCCATGCATTCATCTTAATATTCTCATTTCTACCACACTAAATTTAACTATAATTTTCTTCGTTATTATCAAATAGTTATATTCGTATAATATAGTCGATCTAGTTGTAGTCTTGTAAAATTTAATTTTAAGTCTCCATGATATTCCTGTCATACAATACCATCCAATCTTAACTCTAAAAGTTATTATCTTTACCAATATTATCATTTGTTGTATAACAAATCCAAGACACTCAAACTAATTGCACCTAATATAACTTCAAATTTACATACCATATTCTCAACATTTACTCTATTAATCCTATGCCCCGTCTTCTAAAAATATCCTTCATTGTTCTACTAATGCTAGTTCCTTGTCTTCCAGCAATATCAAAAATCATCAATGAATCATAGTAAAATCAATATTATGCTGCTCACCGGAAGAGCCTTCTCCCATTCAGCAGGCAAGTCTCCTGAAATTATATCCTTCAAAATAGTCGCATCTTCTTTGTGCTTCTTCTCATACTCTGCAAACTTCGCATTCCATTCAGACTCATGAGCTGCACCATTAGAGATATGTCGGCTCCAATGGCTGTAAGAAGCCAAAAGCAAGCATTGACTAATTACTATCCATAGAAAATAAGGCTGCATTGATTAATTACTACCCATAGAAAATAAGGCTTAAAGTGCTAGCAATTTAGTTGAAAAAGATTTTAAAAGTTATTACCAATATCCTGGGATCAAATCCCTCCTACTAAATTGTGTTCCTACACTCAAATTTTCACCTGAAAAAAGGCTCAATTTTATAGTGTTGTGTTGTTGAATAATGGGAATGACTATTCAATAAAAATATTATTCTTTTTTTTTAGGAGAAATGCACCAATGCATTAAAAGAAAATAAAAATATTATTCAAAGTGTGAAAAAGAGTTATAGCTATTTGATAAAAAATATTAGGGGATTCATAAACATAGCACTTTAAACTTGCTTATTTATATATCTAGCACCTGAAACTTAGTATTTGATTATATAACACATAAATCTATTTAATACTTTAAAAGTAATACTTTGTTACCTTCATTCTCATCTCCCCTTAAAAAACTATTAGCACGGCAAATCAGAAGGCTCTACAAGTGGTCCCTCTTCACGTGACTCTGCTCCAGCCGTCACCGAACGCATCCCACTTACCTACTGCTAACGACTCTGCTCCTGCAAGGATATCACGATCCTTAGTTATGATTATACTTCACCAATATATCATGTAATCTGAGTTCTACATTTCAATGAGAACATCTTATCTACAGTAATCTGTCTATCTTCTTCTCTTTGCCTTCTCTTCTTGGTATCAAAGCGCTGAGCTTCACCGCCTTCTTTCTCCATGGCCGGACAAAGCGCCACCTCCTCCGGAACTTCTCTGGCATCTTCTCTGTCTGCAGCAATGGCAGACTTCACTGTGCCTGCTCCGCTGAAGTTCCTCATGACGAATCTGAAGCTCATCGTCAATCTTTAACTCTCCAACGAGAACTACGCCATCTGGAGCTTACAGGTGCACAAGCTCTTCACAGCAAACGGTTTCGATGGCTACCTCACCGGAAAACAGGCGCGACCGAGCGGACCCTCTTCCGATCCCAAACTGAAGCTGTGGCTTCTAATCGACCAGAACCTCGTTGTCGCTCTACTTTCCACCATTTCGCCTTCAGTTCTCCCTTGCATACTACACCTCTCCACCTCTGCTGAGATCTGGAACACTTTTGGCAAATCGCCTGCAGCCCACCAACAGGTCGAGAGTCATCCAGCTCAACACAGCAACCAATCAGTTTGGATACTATGTATTCTCTTCTCTTCAGCGAATAGATACACGTCAACAACAAACTGCAGCGCGATATTCCTCCTGCTACTGACAATGTAGCCTTCTACACTGGCCGCGGCCGAAGCAATCGAGGCCGAGGAAACTATCGCGGAAGATCATTTCCACCCAGATCTCAACCCAACAGCAATCGAGCCACACCCACACAGGGGAACACTCGGACTACCTGTCAGATCTGTGGGAAGCCCGGCCACATTGCCCTTGATTGCTGGCACAGATGCAACATGAATTACTCCTCCATAGAGCCTTCTCGAGCTCTCTTATCTCAACCACAAAACAACAATGCCACCGAGTGCATACTAGACATCGGAGCTTCAAGTCACCTTACCCTGACTCTATCAATCTATAGCAGCCCACCGCCTATTTAGGCACAGATTCTGTCTCCATAGCCAATGGGAACTCTCTGCCTATTCAACACCAGAGCCAAGGGATACTACCTCTCCCAAATACTCCTCGTAAGATTTTTCTCCAAAACATCTTTCATGTTCCTTCACTAACTCACAATTTACTCTCTGTTCACAAGCTTACCAAGGACAATAATTTCTCTATCTCCTTCGACGCTAACGGCTTCGTCATTCAGGATCTAGCGGACAATCAAGTTCTTCTCCATGGTCCTACCCGTGATGGCCTCTATTCAATCCACACGCCCAAGACCCGATCATCTCACACTGCCTTCCACTCCACAGCCACTACAAGCTCAATCTGGCACAATCGTCTTGGACCTCTTGGTCATCCTCACCTCCGTGTCATGAAGTTATTAGCTAAATTAGTCCCGTCTATATGTACTTCTTCTGGTTCTACCTTATGTCGGTCTTGTAATGTGGCCAAAAGCCACAAGTTATCATTTCCTTTTAGAATCTACAAATGTTACAACTCCTTTTTCTCTCATTCACACAGATGTTTGGGGACCTTCACCCGTTCCCTCAATCAATGGATATCATTATTATGTAACTTTCATTGACGATCACTCTCGTTTCTGCTGGCTTTATCTAATGCAATCCAATGATCAAACTCTTTCAAAATTTATACACTTCCATAATCTTATCAACACATCTTTCAACAGTAAAATTAAAACCATTCGATCAGACAACGGAGGCGAATTTCTCAATAATCACTTCACCAACTACCTCTCTCAACACGGAATAGCTCATCAACGCAGCTGTCCCTACACACCCGAACAAAATAGTCTCGCATAAAGCAAAAATAGACATCTTCTAAAGATCACCCGAGCTCTACTACACACCGCCACTCTTCCCTCTACCTTTTGGGCAGAAGCTCTTCTCACAGCTAATTACCTCATAAATCGCCTTCCCACTAAATCCCGTCATCTCCACATTCCCTACAAATTACACCATGGCACACTACCAAATTACAACCACCTCAAAATATTTGGTTGTCTTTGCTTCCCTTGGCTTCGCCCTCTGACGACAAACAAACTCCAACCTAGATCTCAAGATATTGCATTTTCCTTGGTTATTCATCCTCCCACAAAGGCTATAGATGTTACAACCTTCTCACCCACAAAATTCACATCTCCCGTCACGTAATCTTCTATGAACAACACTTTCCACACTCCATTTCATCCACCAATACCACTACTCCAATCTCCATCATGGTGTTGCCTTGAATCACCTCCTTCTTCACCTCTGCCACATTGTTGCCTTCTCCCAAACTATCACAGAGAGAGATTCCCATTCAATGATCTATAGGCAGATTTTAGGCAGAAAATGGAGTTGGAGTTGCAAGTCTTTTTTATTCAGGGAACTTTGACTTTGAACTTATGATTCTCTTATTCGTTTACTTATTTATTGTGAGAATTTCACATGGAATAAGGTATGCGACAATTTCGACATACTAACAGATATCTATTAACGAGCCTATCTTGAAATCAAATAAATTTAATTTTACTTTTTATCTTGCGTGGGATCTTAACTATGAAAAATCTAATCCCGAGCTTAGAATTTTTATTTTCTTCGACCATTTTCGGTTTAGGCAGAAAGGCAATAGTGCGAAGCGGAGATGCAAATGGAGATAAATAAGTGTCACTTTTGAGGTGTTAGGTAGATTTTGCATGTTATATAAGGAAATACTAAGTTTTAAGACTTATAAATAAGCAAGTTTAAAAAAGCAATGTATGAAAATCTCGAGAAATACTATGGCATTGATAGGAGTGATGGAATAACTAAAATAAATATTATGAGAATATTTCATATTATTATAACATGATAAAATAATCTTAATTAGCACATAATAAATTAAATTGTTTTTTAATTAAAAAGAACAAGTACATATCATAAAATCACCTTTCCAATAAGTCACCTAAACTATCCATCTAAGAAATCATTAGTTATTTGTCAAATTTGATTTTGTTAATCAATCGGTTGTACTGTTTGACACATACCTCAATCCATTAGTCAAGCTCGATGAGGAGCTCTATTGGGGGGTCATTGGGGGGAAGCGAATGCAACATATAGAGGGTCGCGACATTGTAAATCTAGCATCAAAGTGTTCTGGTCCCCCCTCTGAGATAGAACACGGAACCACAACACTGTAGTTCCAGTGCCACGACACTATGAACCTAGCGCAGCTGCACTATAGGTTCAACGCCACAGCGCAGCAGAGGCGTTTTGAAATAATGAGTCATAGTCGAGGCATTGTGTGTAAGTTGAGTCGGTTTTATCTTTGTTTTTAAGAGATGTATCTAATTGAAGGGGATGTAACTCATAAGAAACTTGCATTCACATTTAGAGACGGTGGATGTGGGTGATCTGTATAATTTCTCTCATTTTATATAATGGATTTCTTGATGTAGTGTGGCTCCATTATTTTTTTATTTACGAGTTTTTCTACGCTAAATTCTAGAGTTCTTCTTCGTCGTTTATTTTCCTTGTTTATTTCATTTTTTGTTCACTTCCCAACAGAAAGTCATTTTTTTGCTAAACTTTTTCTCACCGCATCAAATCAAACACACAAAAACAACTTCTACTGTTCTAGGAAGCAAAAATAGGCAGAAAAAAGTATTATCAAATTAAACGGTCCTTAAGTTTTATATGCCCAGCTAAATAGATTAGTAGAAGTGACACCTTTTCACATCCTCAGGTACATGGAAAGGATCATAAGGCCATCCAAGATTTTTTCTAGTTGCATCAACTTCCTCACTACCCAATGCACTTCCATGAGCACTGTATGAATTTGCCTTGTTCGGTGATCCATAACCAATGGTGGTTGTAACCTGCAGAGACATGGACGTACATGAAGGATAAGAATGTCCCTATCAAACACTAAAAAGAGAGCAACAAAAAATACTGTGAGATGTAATCAAACGTAGAGGGAGAAAGAAAAGTACCTTTATCAATGAAGGCTTGTCTTTAACAGCTTTGGCTTCCTTGATTGCAGCCCGGATCTCATTGTAGCCTGTGTTACCATTCTTTACCCAGATGGTGTGCCAGCCAAGAGCCTCGAAGCGTGCATTGACATCCTCTGTAAATGTAATTTCTGTGTCTCCATCAATGGTAATACGATTGTCATCATAGAAAGCAATCAATTTCCCAAGACCCCAGTGTCCAGCAAGAGAGCAAGCTTCATTTGATACTCCCTCCATTTGGCAACCATCCCCAAGTATAACATACCTAAATTAAAATGCCAGTCAGTGCTAGTCCCTAAGGACATCTCCAACCTAAAATCTAATTTTTCACTCCAAAATATAGTGAAACTAAAAAATTGGGTGATTCATCTCCAATCAAACTCCATTTTGCGCCCTTCGCAGAAGGTAACCATCTTTTTCCTCTTTCGCACATTCTTCAGCAAATCTGGTAGATACAGAAAAATAATGTAGGTGAACAGTGCACGCCAATATTAGCGTCGCACTGCTCACCCGCAACCAAATACCGAAAGTTTTATAGTTCGGCTGGAGCTCGCAAAAGACTCCCTTCATGCCTTTGGAGTTCGTTTGGAGAAGGCTAAGTGCTACAAAAGAAGAACAGATATAATAACACGTGACAGGATACGACTCTTTAAACTATTACGTGTAATGGTCAATGATCTCCGCATCAGGCTTATTGAAGCGGGCAGCTAGGTGCTTCTCAGCTAATGCTAATCCGACAGCATTTGCAATACCCTGACCAAGAGGACCTGTAGCACACAAAGAGAATAAATTACATAATCTATAACACCAAGCAGAATACAGAAAAAGAAAGATATGGTAATACAAGTAATGCAAAAGCATTCTTTACATAAAACGAATAGTCATGCCCTGTTCAGTTCTACACTTAAAATTACTTACCAGTAGTGACTTCGATACCGGGCGTTTCAAAACTCTCAGGATGCCCAGGAGTTTTACTCTGCCACTGTCTGAAAGCTTTCAAATCCTCATCCTAAAACATCATAATAAGAACCATCAATTATAAAATAAAAAAAGAGCAGCTTTGAGCAAAATATTTTTATAAACGGCATCTCCATATCAGGGCTTTTAAACTTTATAAACCAGGCTCCAATTCAACTAAATAGACCCATACATTGATCTCTCCTTGAGGAATCATTTAAACTGATTCTAAACCAACATTAGCAGAATAAAGATCGGTAGACTTGTATCATAAGAAATTTATCAAAGAAAAACAATTTCTCAGAACGAACAAAATGAAAGAAATTATCCCTGACTAGACCAACCAATCCTAAAAAAAGGAAACGACATATATGCCAAACTATGGGAGACAAGACGACAAGATTCATTTGAGAGAAAAACGCCATATTTCCTACTCATATTCAAGCAAGTCAAAATCATAAAAACCTTCTATATAAAGAATGCAAACCACTCATACCTTAACACTGTCATACCCAGTAAGGTAGAGTAGCGCGTAATGCAGCATGCATCCATGGCCCGCAGAGAGCAGGAATCGATCCCGGTTAAACCAGTAAGGATTCTTAGGGTTGAAGCGCATGAATTCATCGAAGAGGATATGACCCAAGGGGGCACATCCCATGGGGAGCCCCGGGTGACCTGAGTTGGCCTTCTCCACCGCATCGACGGCCAGGAACCGGATTGTGTTCACGGACCTCTCCATTAGCTCTTCGGTCACCGGCTTGCCGTCCGCCGTGTCAATCACGGCTGATCGAATCTTAACAAACCGCCGAGAGCGCTGTTTTAACTCAGCCGCTTTTGGGTTAAGCCGAAGAATAAGGCGGTGCCCGCCGGAGGAGAGGGCGAGGCGGTCAGGCTGGGATGGGGCCGCGACGGTCCCCCGGCCGGAGATCGCCCGTGCTAATTGGGCGTGGGATGCAGTCAAGAAGGAGGAAGCGGCCATGTCGCAGTCGCAAGATCCTCACAAAGCCTGCCGCTTTAGATGAAGAAGGAAGTTGGCGGGTTTAATATAAAATATTTATCGATGAGAGTAAAAAAAGACCGTAGAATCGTGACCGTCGAATGGATATGCCTGCTTTCGATACTGTGATATTTGGACTGATCGTAAATGCACTAATTCCTGATTTTTAATAATTATAATAAAAATATGTCATTTTGAACTTAAATCATATGATAAGGAAAATTTATTTTAGTTAACTTATGACCTCTCAAATGACGTATAAATTTAATTATTGTTTAGTTCTAAAATACATTTTTATAAATAAGATATAATAATATTTTAGCTAACGATGATAATATAAAATATATGACGATAAGTGTTTTATATTTGACACATAAGTATTTTAAATTATTAGATAAAAGCAAAGATGCATTGCTTAGAATTTAATTTTTAGAGTTAAAATTAGGACTTTAAAAAGTGGAATATATTTAAAAAATTACAATAAATTAATATTATTAGGATAGAAAAAAAAAATTAGGAGTGCTCCCTCATTTTGATACTCTTGATCTTAGAGCATTTATCAAGTATTTTTTTATCAAACATTTATGTGCCCAAATGATGTCAGAATTAGGTGATCTTAGGCTTGTTGGATTCATCTCGTCGAGCCGCTCGATTCGATTGTAATCATCCTATATTTGGGTATGATTTGTTCATCCAATTTAGGCTTTGATCCTACCAAATGTACTTTGGGTCCTCAATTTGGATCCATTTGGGCTCGGATTGGATCGATTTTGGTATCGTTGGGTTTGTCTCTTCGAGATGTTTAGTTTGATTATAGGTTTATTTAAATCGGAATTTAGATGGCCCCGGATTAAGTTTTGCAATTTTTTATTCATATTTGCATCGAGAGTCGTGTATGATTAAGATAATTTGTTGACGACATATCAACATTAATCATTTATTTAATAGTTAATCCATTGTTAAAAAAGGTATAATAATCCCTAAGGTTATATAAAGGGTTCTAGTTTATATTAAGGAACTTATTCTTAAATGAAACATTGAATTCGTGTTGTTTGCTTATTTTCTTCTCCACTTTACGATGGATTCTCATTTTCTCATCTCATCTACCACCAAATCCCTTCTTTTAGTGACCGTTCGTCTTTTCTCTTTTTTTATGTTACATCATTCGATTTAACAGATAAAAAATTTTCCTCATATGTATATCTCATTGTTCACTAGCCCTTTGCTTGCAATCTTTTCATTGCTTCACGATCTTCATCCAACACCCCATTACTTGAGATGAACCTCATGTGCATTCGACTCTTCTTCTATCATGACACAAATCTTGATGTTCTAACATTCTTCCTTAAAGCCCATAACTAGTGGTAAGGTCTTTATCTCGAGAGATTATTTTGTGCGAACACCGAACACAGCTTAACGTCCAGAGGCGAGTCAGGTGCAGCCATGTCATCAAGTATCAAGCAGTACCGAGCTCGGTAGTACCAAGCTGTGGTACCGAGTAGGGGGTAACATGGCGCACTTTTATTGAACTCTGGACAGTTTTCGGCGTCCACACAGAATAATTCATCCTTTTATCTCATGTATTATAGATGTGCATCAAGTGCTTGCTATTGTGATCTTAAAGAAATTCATGCCAAAGAATTCTATCATTAAGCAAAGAATAGACCAACTTTTTTTAAAGGGCATGCATCCTGAACATGTAAGAGCAAACCATTGTTAGTGTGAATGTGCTCACAGAATACTTGTATGACCTCCTCAGAATGTTATTGAAGCTTACTATCTGGTTCATACAAGAAGATTGATTATAATAGATGTATCTCATTATTATGACAGTAATTATGCTGATGAACTCTATGATCATCACATTAATATCAATATTAATATAATAATCAATTTACTAGACATATTAGATCTTCATATTACCCATAATCCCAATTGTAATCCTTGAATTTTTCCTAATTAGCATAAGGCATCCCAACATTAACACGCGGTAGAACAAAAATAGTCATTAAAATATTAATGGCTGAGACATCTTAACTTCTACAAAATATCTCAAGAGAATTCTCAGAAATATAAAATCAATCAAGATGAATTATCAACAACTAGAGTTTCTCTCGAGATAATCTCAACTGTCAATTCTAAATATCCCTAAATAATTTTAAATACACTTTAACTAGAATTATTCAAGAAGAGATAGTCATTGACATTAGATCTACTTCAACATTCAATTAACTTTAAATTCAACTTCCAACACGAGCATCATTATAAATAACAATAATCATACCTCTCATATAGGGACATTATGATATATGTTATGATTCGGGGATCAAATCAGCACCCAAAACAACCGCTAGAATCAAATCGGTACCAAACAAAGAAAAAATAGCCACCAACCAAGAAAAGGACAGTAATGATATATAAGAACAACGCTAATAAAGCTAAAATAATAATCTTCAATCAAAAGAAACACAAGATACAATTGATTCACTGTTCAAGAGGTGAATAGGCTCAGCCCCAATTCCTAGTAGCAACTAGGAACCCAAAATCACCGAAGAAAACTACTGCAAAAATTTCTTCATACAATCCCCCCCATATACAAACTTTCTCCTTTGAAATCAGCCCTAGTCCCACCATAAATGCACCTCGTATTTTCTCCAACGATCACTTCTTAATACTTCTCCTATAGATCTGAAATGAGGTGTTGACAAAACAGGAGCCTTTGGATTCCTGGAATTTCGCCGACCCCCACCCCCAGGCATTCGGTTTGGTAGCCAGAGGCTTGGGATCCATAGCTGCATCGACAAAAGAATAAAAGAAATTATTAGTGAGAATATCTATTATACTTGGAAATATTTCTATTGCCTTCTTTGTTATTTAGTAATGGTAAATATAAATCTAAACCAGACCACTTTAATCATTTTGTATTCTTAAGGAGCATACTTTCTCATTGAGCTATTACTTGACCTCCTCATAAAGTATCTCAGTCACAGTTACTTAATGACATTAAACCAACAAATTGATAGGATTCCTCATCCTATGTGATGCCAAATTTTCACTGTCAACATTTTTTATGTTGTTTGTATGAAATTTAAATATGCGATGGAGAAAAAGAGTTACGGATGATAACAACCATACCAAAATGCCACATAATTATGGTCAATTGAACTAGAATGATTTTATTCATTTAGAACATGACGCTAGTAACACTGTCGTTGTCAGTTTCCAAGTCTTTGATGAGAAAAGTAAAGGTTTGCATTAGGTAGTCGACGACCAGCGTAAAACTTCTCGAATAATCATGATATGAATCATTTAATACATTGTGTTAATATCAAGGCGTTACTTGGAAGCGATGTGCTGTATAGCATGAATAAAGCAACAAGTGTGCAAGTGCCATGGCACCAACTCCCAGCTACAATGTTAAATAGGCAAAGTTTCACACATCATAGACAGATTTATGCAAAGAAGCTAGTCCATAAAATTAAAAATATGATAGAAACTTTAAATATAGGTTCCCTTACAGTTTCATAAATGAAATTAATATATATTATGATGCATAAAAATATAAATATTCTATGCATTCAGGAAACTAAATGAGTTTGAGAGAAGACTAAGGAAATTAATAGTTTAGATTTTAAACTATAGTATTATGATAGGAGTCATATAGAAATTGTATAGGCGTGATTATAGATAAGAGTTTGAGGGATAATATTGAAAAATTAATAAATTTGGATATAGAATTATAGCTTTAAAGATTGTTGTTTATGCTAAAATTATTAATATTATAATTTTGTTGATTGCATTTATCTGTCGAAATAAGGAAGAACAAAAATATTTCTTCTTAATTCAGGAAGGGGTTCATAAAGATTTTTTTTTTATTATAATGATTGATTTATTTAACTGTACGAATCAATATAGAAGATAATATGGAGCATCATATGTTTGGAAGAACATTCTACAGTCGCTACTCCTATTTCTATTTTATTCCACTATTCTTATTTCATCTTTATTCATTTTCTATTAAAAAGAATGTTATATTCTTTTATAATTTGTTGCTAGGTTTAGTATTAGAGGGGAATAGAAAATGATCAAAATATTTTATTAACTCTTTATGAATGATCAAAATGGTTCACAACTATATTAAAGGATTATTTTGGTTCCCCTTTAAAGAGTTGAGGTATCAAAATGAAATTATTCTATGCAGAGTCCGAACGATAAAAAACTGTCCATGTAAGTGTACACTCACTGTGTGCACTCATAACCGAACGGTTCTTTATCGTCCGGACTCCGCACGGAATAATTTCTCATCAAAATGGGCCTTCATAAAGAATCAATGGACCATTTTGAGGGCGAAATATAGGGGCTTACACCTATAGAAAACATGAACTCAAATCATAAAGTCCTTGCAAAATGAGGGCGAAATATCTGGGTAGTATCTTTTCTAAAACTCAATTTGTCCTTTGAAAATTTACCACAACCTAAACTGATTAAAACTCGCCTCGCCGACACACATAAAAAAAGGGACGCGAAGAGGCCATGGCACGCGAATTTTCGAAGCCCACATATGATAGATATAAATTATCCTTTTGCATTTTTTGGATGAAAAGTTTTTTTTTTCCAAATTTTGTTATTTTGGATAGCGCCAAAGTCAAGATTTGAGTTTGATTTAGATTTGAAATCTCATCCATCTAAACTCTTACAAATATATTAAACAGAGAGGAACTTAGAGAGGATTTGTGTGCATATGGGGTGAATTCCTTTGGGTTGATGTAGATAAGAGAGAGGATAGACAATTTTGGGAAAAGAAAGGTGGGGAGAAAATAAAAATAACAGATAGATTTCTTTTTGTGACCACGAAGTATTATCTTGATGTGGATGATGAAATAAAATGATTATTCTATAAACATGTGTCATGGTAGGCTATTGAGAAGCAGTGGTGTGAATATCTTTTGGTATTATTTAAATCAATCTTGTTTATTAATTATTATATCACTTGTATATGGCTTGAGAGCTTCCAACTTGTGGAATGATTGGATGTATTTAAGTTTGGAGAATAGTGTTTTGTTGTTCATTCGCATAAAAATTTGAGTACATTAGTACAAAATCATCTCACCTGAGTGCTTAATTCAAAACCTAAGTAGGATAGACCCATTCCATTACCAAGATTTTGGATCCACAAAGACGTGGTGTTTTAGTAGAGTCGAGTTTTCTGGGTATGAGAAGCATTGTTTTCCAGTTAAAAATAGTATAGGTATAATTTTCTTAATGATATGAACGCTTCTAACCTGAATAGAATATCACTTTAGTCATTTCATCTGAATTAATGGCCAAAATACTATAACTAAAACAACATTTATACCGATACAAAGGTTTCCTCTGCATATGGCCTATATAGTCTGAATCATTATGATGAACAAAAAACTATCTTGCTATACTTACCTGAATATGTATGAACATGCCACAGCTCTTCCCTCCATTAATGGTAGCCGGGCTGTGAAATCATTGTAATCCAATCCAAGTGATGGTGAATCATTTGAAGTAGCGTATAACGAGAACAAGTTCAATAATCATGAATGTCTCATGGGTCCAAAAGCTCCTTGATGTTATTGACACCTATATATCATGGCAGCAACCAGTAATGAAATCCATTGAACTAGCAATCATCCTCTCAACCGGTGAAGGATTTCGACAGAAGAGGATTGAGGCCATTAGATTACAAAAATAATTCAGCGAGCATGATTGCCTCCAGCTTGACAGGGAGGCAGGAGAACCTTTATAATCCTTTTTTTTTTCGGAGATGTTACAAAGGTCTGAATTTTGGATCTTACTAATGGAAATTATCCTTTGATAGAGGTCTGATATCTTGAATTTCTGAGAGAATAATGTCGGGCACATGACCTGTCCGCTCACTCCCTCTCAGGTCCGAAAGTTTGGCCTTAAGATAGGATCGATTTCAAACCCAGAATTAATCTATTCCTTGGAGTTTGTACACCGTTTTATTGCTTCATCTTGAATCTCCTCGCCCAACTTATTTGGCTGTCATTTTGAATTGTTAGTCAGAAGATAGCGCTCGGATGTCATTTAAGCAGAAAGGATTGAACTTCTTTTTATTTATCCATTTTTTTACATAGGAGGTGGCATCAATTATCAAGGTTAGCACGATCTGAATTACAATCTGTTACAGCTTCTATCCATTTGTTAGTTTTCACGTAGAAGCTCTCATCAGAAACACTAAGAAGATGGATGATTGATGATCCTTTTCCTTTGTTTGCCATCTGTATCTCATACCTGTACTTGATCCGGTCATCTAGCTTATAACCCAAGAACGCAGGGAAATTCAGTAGTTCCCCCACATCTCTTTGCATATCGTTGATCAAAAACTCCATCTTCTTCTCCAGTGACTCACAGTTATACTGCAGCACTTGTGGATGCTTCCTGCTCATGGCCAGCACATCCTCGCAGGAGAAGCCATGGCTAAAGAAAAGTCCAATTACTTTCTGCATGTTTTCAGAGCTAGTCCTGGTCGCCGCACCAACAGCCAAAGCCATCTCCCTAGTCCGATACACGTATCCTAGCTTGACAAGAAACACTAACTTCTTTGCAAGGTTGTCCTCAAAGGACAGGCTCACGAAAAGAGGTGCCTTGACGAGAAACTTAAAGATGTCCTCGGCGTTCAACCCGCATTGTTCGAGAAACTCAATTCTGGAAGTAAGCTTTCTCTCTCTGCTGACGCTGAAAATGTTGGGGTACACAAGAGCTATCTTGAAGACTTGCTCACCAGAAAGGCCAACAGATCGCCAGAACTCCAGGTGTGATTGAAGGTGCTCAACTGTATATGCAAGGACTGCTGGCAGCTTACGGATCAAGATCGCAGAGGACTCTTCGTCGCCACCAGCAAGATCAGCAAAGAACTGGGCACGGGGAATCAACTGGTTATGGAGATCCAGGTTCAGAAGCTTGGGACGGCGTACAATGATATCCGGCCAGCCATAGCGCTGCAAGAACAATATCACTTCCTCAATATCCTCGATGGTCCGCTCACAGAAAGCTCTCTTGATATCAACGACATTGAGAAGATGCCCGAGCTTCTCGTGAGGGAATCCATGGTTAAGAAGAAGTTTGGTTCTCATGACAAGCCCAGGAAAGAGCGCGGGATCGGTACGGATTAGAAGCCGCTCGAGCTTTGTCGGCAAGAGTTCTACGGAATCTTCATGGACAAAGTTGAGGAAGAGGCCGGCCTCCGGCGACGTGAGTATGTCAGGGCGTTTGATGATGGTCCGCCAGAGAGCAGAATTGCTGAGCCCAATGGACAGCAAGATGTCTATCCGAAGACGAAGCGAATCAGGAGAAGCGATAGCTGCTGATTCGATCTCTGGATGGCGTTGGAGAAGGGCATCCACTTCGTTTTGGTCCAGGCTGAGTTTCTTGAAGATGGAGAGGGTGAAGGCCGCATCGGTAAGGGCGGTCCGGGGAAGGCATCGGGCTGTAAGGTGGCCGTGACTATTAAGGGAAAGCGCGGAGGAAGGAAGCCGAGGTATAGGTGAATGGACTGATAGGTAATAAGAATGACAAAAGGAAGGAGACGGCGGAATTAGGTTTGTGAAGATGGAGAGTGGTGAACGCAGCGGGCTGGGAGCCATGGGCGCAGGGCAGCGATTCCTGGCTGAGATGATGCAACAAGGGACGCAGAAGTTGGAGATGAGCCTGTATTAAGATTTCGGTTTTTCTTGTAAGACACTTATCCTAAAATTTTGAGAAATTTACATGTAACATTTATCAAATACTTCCCCAAAAAACATTTATCAAATATACATGCATATCACTTTATTTCATGTTATTTATACATATTGAGTTCTAAAATATTCGTGGCGATAGAAAAATATATAATATAATGTCTTAGTTTTGTACTAAGATCCAACACACAAGCAGATAAAAAAGTGGGTATAACATTTATAAGAGACACTAGAATTTTTACGTGAAAACCTCTAAAAAGGGGGAAAATCACAGGGATTGACCTAGTTTGAATGAATCTACTATTATCTACAATCGATTACAAATGAGGCCCTTCCTTGGGGGGGAAGGCATTGTGTTGATGTACCAAATGTATATCATATTACATGGTGAAAATTGGAAGAATTAGTATTAAAATATTCGTTTAGTAGGAAGAATCATAGTCGGCGGGCGACGGAGGTCGGAAAGGCTGTAGTCTAGTGAAGGTGGTCGGAAGAACTGTTGTATGGCGAGGGAGGTTGGAATGATCGTATTCGGCGGGAGATAATGATTAGAAAGACTGTTGTCTGATGATGGAGGTTGGAAGGACCGTAGTATGGGATGGAGGTCAGAATGACAGTAGTCGGCAGGAGACAGAGGTTAGAAAAGACCGTTGACAGGCAATGGAGGTCGGAAGGACCGTAATAGGTGATAGAGGTCGTAAAGACCATAATCAACAGAAGATAAGGGGCAGAAAAATCGTTATCTTATGATGGAGATCGGAAGGACAGTAGTAGGCGACGGAGGTCGGAAGGATCAAAGTCGCCAAGAAATAAGGATCAGACATACTGTAGTTGTAAGGCGGTGATCCGACTGTAGGTGGTGATCCGGCGGAAGTCCGTGTGGTGGTCGAGGAGGAGCGAGGAGGCAAGAATGATATTGGAACTCTCTCTTGCTCTCTTGCTTCAGGCCCCCCTTTTGGGAGAAGTGAGGGGTCTATTTATAAATTTCTAAGAGTAGCATGTCTCATAAATAGTTGGGAAATCAAGGATAAATTAGGAGTGGTTTGGATGGACGGCTAATGTTGAATCTCTTAATTGTGAATTATTTATTGGTCATTTAAATATCTTAATGATATCAAAATTTAGCGATCTTTAGCTCGTTGGATTCACCTCGTCGAGCCGCTCAATTTGACTATAAAAATGTCACGTTTGGAAACCATTTGGTAAACCAAATTGTGATTTGAACATTCCAATAATGCTTCATGTCCTTGATTTGGACCCATTTGGGCTCGGATTAAGTCGAATTTGGTGTCGTTGGGTTCGTATTTTCAAGACGTTCAATTTTATTGTAAGTTTACTGAAATTGGAGTTCATATGGTCTCAATTTTAATTTTGGAAGTTTCCAACTTGATTTTGCCTTGAGACTCGTGTTCGATCAAGATAATTTTTTGATAATATATCAATATATCTAACACTCAAAACTTTAATATTACATTCATATCACTCATTTAAAATTTTAATATCAAATATATCACTCATATATTTTATTCTTATCACTCATACCACCCTATAAACTTCAATATTTCATTCCATACACCCATATTCGCTCTATGAGTGGTAGACATATAGTATTAAAGTTTTATTAATAAATATATAAATAATAAGAAGAAAATTTATGAGGAACAAAATGATGTTAATTTTATTACACTTATTACTGATTTCACATATCATATACTATTTTTCAATATATCTAAATTATTATATAATATAATTAAATTTAAAAGATAAATTTAATTAAGCTATTAGATAACAAAATTAAGCTAGTGGATAAATATAACTAATAATTTAGTTATATTATCTAATAATTTAATCTTTATAGGATATATTCATTATACTATACTTTGTCTCGTCGTGATATCACATGCCTCACTTACTATTGCCCACTACATTCTCAAATATAAGTCTACACCTAGGCAGGATTAGGTGTGCAAATGAGTCGAGCTTGACTCGTGAGCCAAATTCAGAGCTCAAACTTGACTCAGGCCAGTGATCCGAGATTGATGAGTGGCTCGCTAAAGCGTTAACGTGATAGTTTTTCTACGGTCGCACTATGTCCATCTTCCGCGATTACATGCTCCCACGATTTTCATGCTTTCGTGATCACACACACCCATGCTTCACCTGAGCTTTCGAGCTTTGCCCCGCTTCTACTCTTCACCCATGCAGTCTTATGTCTTACGCCCTTAGCCCGCAATTTGCCACATTAATCGAGTTGCTTGATGAATAGTCAAGTCGAGCATACTTTGTATCAAACTCGAGCTTGAAGAATCATAATAGGCCTTAAATAATTATTTGAATGATTTGATGCAAATTTAGGAATTTTAATCAATATTTCTAAATTCAATTCCCAAATACATAAGTACAAATTTTAATATTTATCACATTCACAAGTAAAAATATTTTAAAATCTAATAAGTGAAAAAGAAAGAGGAAGAAAGTGGCTTTAATTTTTTTAGGGGATTTACATACATACTACTTTATATTATGCTATTTAGGGTATTTTCATAAAAAATGTATCTTGATCGGTCACGAATCTCAAAGCAAAATCAAGTTGAAAACTTCAAAAAATTAATTCGGGACCATTTGAACACCAATTTTACCAAACCTATAGTCGAACTGAACCCCTCGAAAATACAAACCAACAACACCAAATTTGACCCAATCTAAGCTCAAATAGATACAAAACAAAGACCAGAATCACATTTGGAAGGTTCAATCCATAATTTGGATTACCAAACAGTTTCCAAACGTGGCCTGCTTATAGTTGAATTGAGTAGCTCGACGAGACGAATCCAACCAGCCCAAGATCGACAAATTCTGATATCATTAAGAGATTCAAATGTACAATAAATGGTCCATGACCAAGAGAATTAACATCGACAGTACATTCAAACCACCACTAATTTATTCTTGATATTTCTCTAATTTATTGGTCATGTCATTCTTAAAAAATTATAAAATTGATCCCTCATTTCTCAAGAGAAGGAAAAAAGCTTTCTTTTCATCAGACATCTCATAAATTGCATGAGTGCAAGAAATAAAATAGTAAAGTAATAGACATGAGATATTAAAAATTTTAATATTAGATATTTAAATATATATATAAAGTGTTATTTATAACTCTTTTGCTGTGTGGAGGGAGGAGCTTCTGTCGGCTCAAAGAGGAAGGAGGAGACATGGCGGAGTCTGGCGAGGGTTCGGTCGAAGGAGGATAACAATCTGTCTCTGTACTAACAATCTGTATCTGCTCATGTTCGGCCAGATACGCCTAAATGTCCTACGATAAAATTTACTCTTTTTATATAAATTGTACTATTTTGAACACGATGTATGAAAAACCGCTTTTTCTGTTTCAGTTACAGCAAGTCCAAACCCTAGGGCCTGCCTCCTACCTCCTTCCTTCGCCATGGACATAATTCCCCTTGCCGAGTCAAATGAAACGGCAAGTCCAGACGATGGCTTCGATCCACTTGAAAAACCGTATCAGTCTCCACCCAAGTTACCCGTGGAACTTCGAACACCGGAGGATCTAATCGCTAAGGCAATTGCACCGGTAAAAATTGACTACCTCCGGCCGCCTCCTTCGAGAACGGCACTTACGGCCAAGGTTGAAGGAGGGGCCGACAATGACGCTACCGAGTGGAAGACTACTACTTCAGGCGTGATCAAGGAGAAGAAGTCTAAGCGGCAGCTTAAGAGGGAGCGGAAGCAGGTCGGTGCTGAAGAATCGCCTTCCTTTTTATCACAGTCGGTCATCTTTTATGTTTCTGCGTTATTTTTAGTTTTGCGGTCACTGGAAAGCAAGTTTTGAACTATTTCCATTCTAATTTAAGAACCAGTCGAAGCCTTTATTATTTGTATAGAGTAGAACAGGGAGAAAATGGACTACAATTTATTATAGCTGTTTTTATTCTATTTATAGATACAAATCTCTGTACTAACACTTATAATGAATACTGATAATTTCTCTAATATTATTTAGGCTAAAAATAACCTTTTTTATGATATGCAAGAATGCTTCTTCTGATCTTTTACAAGTGACATGCATCGCTAGTAGGAGAGAGAGAAAGAAAGCAGAAGCAGGCCAGAGCTGAAGGATAGCTTTGCTTGCTATTCTTCTATGCCACTCTTTTATCTTCTGTTTTGGTTTGAAAACCCATGCATTTAAGTTTTTAGGTCAACGGGAAGCACTTTCAAATTAGTTTTTCAAAGAATACTGTAGAATTTCAATTGTATGAATGATTTTTAGCATAGATAATTGAGACTTAGGCTTCGTTTGGGACTACTTTTTTACTGCTTTTTAAAATAGTTTTCTAGTATAAAAATTTAAACTTTTATACTAAGAAGTTGTTTTAAGAAGCAATAAGAAAGCCTCCCCAAATGAAACCTTAAGGACTGTTTCAATACAATAATATGTTATTTTAAACTCGAAATTTCTATGCAGGTTCTGTATAATTTACTAGTTACCTGTCATTAATGCTTTTATATTGAACCTCATTCTCTGTAGAACTGAATTTTGGTAATTGATCACTCAGGATGATGCATAACAGGGGTGGTTACATTTTGTTTCTTCATTGTTCTGGCTTCTCATGTGGAATCCCAGACCATTGTGGTTTCTGTGACCAATTTTTATTTTGAAGTTAAGATTGGTTGTTATTATTGTTTTTTATTACATCACAATATATGTATGAGTATGGTGATCTATAACCACATGGTCCATACACAATTTTTGCAAATGGAAATTAAAAAAAAAAGCAAATTAAGTTGTGTTCTTAAGTAAGAACTGCCAGTGGGTTACATTTAATTAAATGGTTCAATCTAAGAAATGGAGTTAAATGGTGAGTTGAGGCAGGGAGATGCTGTTATGAGCTCTTCCAAATCTTTCCAAAGGAGCGCAAATATTGGTGGTGTGTGATCAAGCACGTGATTCTTAAGAGCTTGTGGAACATTTGCATGGAAGTCTACAGAGAAAATGTTTTAAAATGAAATGCGAGGAATTATTTTTTTATAGGGAAAATGACATCCAATTTTGATGAATACCACATGCTTATGCCTTTCTTTGGATTTTCTCCTAACCATTTTGTGGTCTATGGTCTTAGATATGAGGTCATTGTATATTGTTTTAATTCTGGTTGTCAGAAGGCCTTTCCTTGTCTACATTTCTGAGCAATCAAGTCAGTTTACTTTTTTTGCATAACTTATTATCTATGCAATAGCGTTAGTACATCTTCATTGCCAGGACACAACAATAAGGCGTTGTGCTGCTTCTATTAGACAATAAGGTGGCATGTTGTGCGAATGTGTTATTTCTTGCATTTGATAATGATGTATTTTATATTTCTATTAGTATCTGTGCTTTATGTTCCATATCCTTTTGATTTCATGCATTATTAGTGGGCCATTTGGTGATGTTACTAGTATGAGTAGTATCACTACTTAGAAATATCAGGCAATCTTCTATACCATTTATGACAGTACGTTTGTGATAGATGTGTTGTGTGTATGTGTCTTGATTCAACTTGACCTATAGTTGCAAAAGGTGTAGTAGGCCTATCTTATTGCTGACATTGAAGTTTAGCCTTAATGCAATTTGGCATTGTAGTTTTATGCAATTTTCCTACTTTAAGTGTTGCAGAGATGAGGATGCTCAGGTGGATGAGTGGCTTTACTCTTAGAGATAGGATACGAAATGAGCATAACGTGAAAAGGTTGGAGTAGCTCCCGTGGAAGATAAGATTAGAGAGAGTTTCCTTAGATGGTTTGGTCACATAAAACGGCGGCTTTCCGATGACCCGGTTAGGGAAGTAGAGGTAGTAGATTTGACTTATGTTAAGGAAGGTAGAGGTAGACCTAAATAGTCTTGGTTAGAAAATATTAGAAATGATCTTTCTTTATTAGATTTAAACGAGAATTTGACTTTTATCAAGACACAATGGAGAAAAAGGATTCATGTAGCCGACTCCACGTAGTGGGACAAAGGCTTGATGTTGTTGTTGTTGTATTTGACTGTATTAAATTTCAAATTTACAATATATCCAGGAACAAAAGTCTGCACTTCATATTTGTTCTGAGGTTGCAAAAAGTGGTAAGGCAGATGGATGTCGTTTTGGTGAAAACTGCCGCTTTAATCATGATATTGCTGCTTTCTTGGCTCAGGTACATTTTTCTTGTAGCAAGCTCATATGATATTTGTTATCCCATTGATGCTTACCTACCTGGATTGCATCATGTTTTGTAATTTTAATGATGAAAATAATCGCAATCTTATGTGCAGAAACCAGCTGACCTTGAAGGGGTTTGTCCTTTTGTTACTTTTGAAGAGTTATGCCCGTATGGAATAACTTGTAGATTTTTTAATACACATAAGGAACATACTCCAGAAAGTTGTGATATTTCTAAGAAGAGCTCTGAGATTAATGTTCTAAAGAAAGATTTGCAAAAGCTTTTGTGGAAAAATAAATTTTCTTTTCCCATGGCAGATTATCAACTCAAAGTCCTGGGGCTAAAGGTATGCTAAATATTATGGAGTTTGATCAGCTTAGATTATTTGAAGTTTAAAGTATCTTAATTGATTGGAGTGCTCCCAGTTAACCTATTTTTTTTAATGTCAATAACTCGTTATTTTTTCTTCTGTTCTTTATAAAGAAGGTTCTTTGTGCTACTCTAATTTACATATATCTTTGAAGTGGATTTTTAAATCCAATCCTTATGATTAATCTTGCAATTATGACGATCAACTGATTTTATTGATCTGTATACTAAACTTATCTTTTCTCGCTGTAAATCGATCTCTCTCTCAACTTTTGGATCTTCTATTTGATGTGGACGATGCATCCACATAAAATTTTGATTTTTTCCTCTATTGGACTTAAACCAACTTCTGTATCAACTCCCTCTAAAAACATAAACAATGACTCTTTTTCTTCCTGGAAGACGTGATGATTAGTTGCAGTGTGGGCTCAGATTTTACATTTGCATATTTATTATGCTTGCCCGAGCACATGCGAATATTTCATTTTTAAAAAAGATTTGGAATTTAAGAATTGGTCGTGAGATTTCATTGAATTTGCACTTTTTTATGCATTTGTACAGCTTTTTTTCTGTTCTATGGTGGATTTGCACAACGAACGTGTATGTTTCATCATGCACTTGCACGATGCATCTAAACTTATCTCGGCGCACTTTGGCAATGCATTTGCATACTTGAACATTTATATGTTTCTTCTTGTGCTCGTACAATGCATTTGTATGTCCTAGGTACGCTTGCACTGTACCTAATAAGGGACGTGCAAAGAAGTTTCTCTTTTGGTGATTTAATATGTCTCGCGCACCTTATTTAAGTAGTCGTGCAACCCGTGAATTGCAATATTATGTTATTCTGTTTCTTTTTAAATGCATGTGTTCACGGGGTGTATGACATGTTTACGGGATGTGTACGAGTTTAATTTCTTTATTAGCTTGCATGTACGTTGCCTAAGGTCTCATATGCTTTATCTAAATAAATAAATATCATATGTAGATCCTCCTTATTCTCTCTATACTTCTCCATCAAACCTCTCAATAAATGTATATCTTCCATAGTAGACCTACTTGGCATGAATCCAAATTGATTTTGAGAAAAATTAGTATTACGCTGCAACCTGTGCTCCATAACTCTTGATGTAAACAAAAAGAAAAACAAACAAGTGCTCCAAAACAAGTTGGAGAACATTAGATACTTTAGGAGAAAAGAAACTTATAAACTAGGATAAATATGACATGACACATCCAAAAAAAAAAAAAACCTAACCAGGATGTAAGAAACTTTCAAAGACACGTAGCAAAGAAACAAATAAGCTACTTTCAACCTCAAATAAAAAAAAAAACAACTTACAGCTTGTAATAGAACTCTAGACACATCACAACTTATATAATTTTTTAGAAGAATGATACAAATGGAGTGATAACTTATGAAGAGAAGAAAGAAGATAGAAGTCCGAGACGAATTATAAGAAGAAGGGAGGTAGAAGACAATAGCTTGCAAGCTATTACAAAAACCATAGCTTTTATTTCCAAAAATTCTTCATTTTTCCATTCTCTAAACTGCAGCAAAATAGTCCCTATAAATAGGAAAAGGAACCCAATAGTCACCTAAAGCAGCCGCCCCATTCAGCCAACCAAAACAGAGAAAATAAACCCAGGAAAAAAGGCACAGCCAGCCCAAGAATCGAACGGATAAGCAACCCAACAGCCAGCCAGAATCGGAACAGTCAGGAGCCCAACAGACACCAAGGAAAGAGCACGACATGCTCAGGAACCGAACAACCAATTGCTCAAAAAAACAGCCCACAGTCAGTCATAACACCCCAAACACCAAATAGCCAAAGAAACATGGGTCAAGACCATTTAGCTATTTTCAACCTACTAACAAATGCCTATTAATCTAAATTTTGATTGCATCAATTCTCCCCTGGAGAGAGTTCTCATCTCCTGACGAGATCGAATTTGAACTTCCCTTACGTGTCGAATGAACCTTATCCAATTCCCGAATTAAAGCCGCGTACTTTCTTTGAATTTTTTCTCTTTCTTGTTTAAATTGGGCCTGAAGAAGTCGTTTTCTCTTCTCGTATTTTTCTGTACACTAGCTTATTCTCACATGAATTTTATATGATTCATTTTGAATCGGATCGATAGAACTATCTTGGGACAGAATCACAGAACCCAGTGGCTTGTTGGAATTCTTTTTTCAAGATTTGTTGGAAGATTTTCACCATCAACAGATTCAATGTCTTCTTAATGAGGTTCCATTATGATTTATTTTATTATTTTTTTTTATAAAGACAAAGACTCACACCCTAACCAAGGGCTCTGATACCAAATTGATGTAAACAAAAATAAAAACAAACAAGTGCTCCAAAATAAGTTGGAGAACATTAGATACTTTCGGAAAAAAGAAACTTTCAAACTAGGATAAATATGCCATGACACATCCAAAGCAAAAAAAAAAAAACTAACCAGGATGTAAGAAACTTTCAAAGACACATAGCAAAGAAAAAAACAAACTTCTTTCAACCTCAACTTACAACTTGTAATAGAACTCTGGACACAACACAACTTATAAAATTTTTGAGATGAAGGATACAAATAGAGTGGTAACTTATGGAGAGAAGATAGAAGTCCGAGACGAATTATAAGAAGAAGGGAGGTAGAAGACAATAGCTCATAAGCTATTACAAAACCCACAGGTTTTCTTTTAAAAAATTCTTCATTTTCCATTCTCTAAACTGTAGCAAAACAATCCCTATAAATAGGAAAAGGAACCAAATAATCATCCAAAGCAGCTGCCCCATTCAGCCAACCAAAATAGAGAAAATAAACTCAGGAAAAAAGCACGTCTAGCCCAAGAACCGAACGAACAAGCAGCCCAACAACTAGCCAGAATCAGAACAGCCAGGAGCCCAATAGACACCAAGGAAAGAGCACGACATGCTAAGGAACCGAGCAACTAATTGCTTAAAAAAACAACCCAAAATCAGTCACAACACCCCAAACACCAAACAACCAAAGAAACATGGGTCAAGCCCATTAAGCTAATTTCAGCCTACTAACAAATGCCCATTAATCTAAATTTTGATTGCATTAACTCTCTCCCATAGTTTTAAAGTATGACACATTAGGTTAATTCCTTTATAATTCGCACAATTCTGTGCATCACCTTTATTCTTAAAAATAGGAATCAACACACTCATTCTCCACTCATCTGACGTCTTTTGTCTTGAAAATAATATTAAAAAGTTTAGTAAACCATGAAATTCTTTCATTTCCTAAGCATTTTCACACTTCTATTTGAATATCAGCTGGTCCAACAACTTTTTCACACTTAATTTTCTTTAAAGCCTCTCTAATTTCGATTTTAATAATACATTGATAAAAATAAAAATCTTTATTTTCATTTAGGGTGTTAAGGTCACTAAAGTAAATTACATTCTCATAATCTTTATTGAAGAGTTTATAAAAATATCTCATCCACCTTTGAATATCCTCTTCTAATAAAAGTACTTTTTGATCTTCATCCTTAATACACTTCACTTGAACTAAATCATTACTACTATTATTTTTTTATTTGACTAACTTATATAGATATATTTCGGCCTCTTTAGTATCTAATATATTATTATAAATTATTAAAAGCTAAAATATTTGCATCGCATATTTCTTTCTTAGATTCCTTATGGGCCTCTTTATATCTTTCCCAATTATAAGAATTTTTACATCTAAATCAATTTTTATGACAAATCTTTATTTTTAACTTTTCTTGCACATTTTGATTCCACCGCTGACTATTTTTACTTATAGGAGCTTTTTATTTTGATAATCCAAGCATATCTTTTGCAACATTCTTAATATCACTAGTTACTGTTTCTCACTTGAAATTAGCTTCCTCATGCACAAACAAAATCTTAAGATCTAGTATATTACTTTTAAAATATTTTTATTAATATTCTTTAAATACCCACATTTAATCCTAGAACAACATTTTCTTGTTGTCCATTGTTCAAAAAATGGTTTGGTGACATATGTTGACCCCTCTGTTTTGAAGTGGAATGTTCTCAACCAGGCTAACCTGAAAACGTATGTAATTTTGTATTGCACTCCAATACAATAAAATGATTTCAATGAGCTTCATTTTGTATCTTTGCGAAGGTCATGTTCTCCACTTTACTTCTTTAGAAAGCAAATTCATCTTTTCCTAGTGAACAAGTGATGTTCATAATCACTCAAGAACAGTTTATGTTACTCTAACATTATACTCCGTGGGCCAATCTTAAGCTTCATAAACAAGGCCTTGTGTATATTCTCTCACAGTAATTGATAGAAAAGAATCATTCATAATCTAAGGATGACTGTTAAAACGGCATCATTGCATTTCCATGATCATTTACAGATTATCTTTTTTCTTTGAAAGATTCTTTCCCTTATTTTTTTCTATTACTTCCATTACTAAAATTTTCTTGTTTTACATTGGTTAATGAGTAAGCATGTTTTAAATTTCTTTCACTCTTTCTCTTGTTTACTTGGGCCTTTCTTGAGTTCAAGATTTCTGCCGCTATTTTTCTATGCTCTTTTAAAAATCTGTCTAAACTCAGTCAGTCAAACCCAAAGTTTTTTTCTTCCAGAGAGTAACTTCAAATATTGCGCTGTTTTATCTCTTTTGGTTACCATCTCTTTACAGTTGTGCATTGCAGGGGGGCAAAAGTACCAATTCAAAGGCAGGAAATGGTCAGTTGGATAACAATCCAGAAAATTCCGATGTTTTGAATGATCTTCATGCTGATGAAGTTGATGATACATGCATTTCTGCTGATGAAATAAGGCGTTCTCCATGCGAAGCTGCAGAAAAGGAGTTGTCAAGTGTTGTTTCTGGTTTTGATGAATCCAGACCTCTGAAGAAGGTAAAATCTCTAGTTGATGGACATGTTAAAGACAATTGGTCCTCTGAAGCCACTTATGGTGAGAATACAATTAATTTTCTCTCTACTGTTTTGATTTGTCTTCTTGAATTTTAGGTACCACTGGCTTTTAACTTACTCTTGTTTGGTTAATTCAGTAGGTACATCTGAACAAAGAAATGATCTTCCAGAAACAAATTTGCTTGATGGACGTGATGGTGCCTCAAGCATTAGACTTTGTTCTTCTATATCTGATTTGAACTTAAAACCTCATGCAAGGGAGAAAAAACTAATTGATTTTAGTAGAAAGCTGTACCTCGCACCTCTTACTACTGTTGGCAATCTTCCGTTTAGAAGGATCTGCAAAACACTGGGGGCTGATATCACTTGTGGGGAAATGGCTCTTTGCACTAATCTCCTGCAGGTATTTTTTTGTAATCCTTTCAATTGTATTTAGTTATTGCTAAAGCTTATCTGTTAAGTAAGTGATTTAGTTCTGTGTGCTTGTAAGAATGATAGCTGAAAGACCACTTGGATATCTAGCCAAATTTTCATTTTTCTTATTCTAGTATTGCTGTTGTCTTAAAATTGAATGGACAATACACATGCAGGCATGATAGTAACACACAGTTACTAGCATTTCTTACCTGAAGGATGGTACTCTATGATGCACGGACACGGACACGGCGACACGGACACGACACGGACGATAGCTGAAAGACCACTTGGATATCTAGCCAAATTTTCATTTTTCTTATTCTAGTATTGCTGTTGTCTTAAAATTGAATGGACAATACACATGCAGGCATGATAGTAACACACAGTTACTAGCATTTCTTACCTGAAGGATGGTACATTGGTACTTCGGTTGACATTCTAAAATCCAACTGCCTTTTTTGACCTGTCATACTAGTTGCTTCTGTTATAAAATGTTTTAAAATTATAGCAAAATATATTTTAGTTTATTTTTGCTTGGCTTATTGTTCTTTTCTTGCACACAATGACATCTCTACTTCTATTTCTACGGATTTAGTTTCAATACTTTGCCAAATGATGTGTGCCCCATTTATATTCCATTAACAAGTAACTAGTAGCATGTCTTAAGTGCACATAGTAATGTTATTATTTGAAATAATTTACTTTTATAATACTTTGAGATAGATTTTTTTTTTTTAATTATCAATTTAACTTCCATTGTCATTCTTCTATGACGCGAAAAGATTATCACCAACAATATATAGTTAACTAACTTTTGGTCGTTTCCTTTAAGATGCCTAATTTCAAAAGTTTATTCTAAGTTTTTTTTTTTCTTAATGTTTGTAAAAGTATTCCAAAGTTTAAATATAAATAGTAGTAAAGCACCATTGAAACACTGAATGCGAATAATTTGAGGATTTTAGCAGATGCTACTGTATACTTTATTGTTCCTTTAAATGATTTGGATTCATATAACAATGGAGTGAATAATTGATAGAGCTCATTAGAAATTTAGTTGTGCTAGTTTGATATCTCTTCATTATAATAAAATTATTATCAGCCCGTCTTGCAAAATTTTTAATTTGGAATGAGCGCAATTGTTAGGCCAAATATATGCAACTCTAAACGCAGAAGAGTTATGTTCTATTACTTGGACCTTCATTACTGATCAAAGTATTTGAATCTAATTAAAATACATTTTTTATAAGTAATAGCTTAATTACTATTTCAATTAAGGTTTTAAATAAATTAAAAAATAAAATTTAAATTTCATTATCTTGAGAATTGTTTGATGAAGCCATGCATGCTCTTTGATGCATTAATCTCTCATTGCATTTTTTTGCTGCATTATATGAAGCACAATTTCTCTTTTCTTTATTTTTTTTCATCAACATTTATATTGGCATATCTTCTCCGGCTATATTCTCATCTACATTTAGCTCTCATTAGTAACATTCATAAAAAAATAATAATAATAATAATAATAACCTTAAACTTATAATAATCTATGAGGAGAAACTAGAAGAAGTTCACAAAAAAAAATAAAAAAAACCTATTCACATCTTCACATTCAGGTGAAAAAAGGAGATGATCAAATGGTTATAGATCAAACACTTTTTAAGATCTCTAATAAAAATGTGTTAGGATTTTATTTTAGTGGGTCATCATTAATAGTGGTATATAAAAGTAAAAAATGGATGAGTGTCCATGATCTTTCTATTATGAGCCTTTCAATGCGTTATTCCCAGGCCACATTTAATACAGACATTAATCTTTACTTAATGTAGGTTTACAAATCTATTTAAAAAAAAAAAGATAAATCTACATGTGACATGTTACTGATGCATTGTGATGACATAGGGTCAAGCTTCTGAATGGGCATTACTAAGGAGGCACTCATCAGAGGACATTTTTGGGGTACAAATTTGTGGAGCTTATCCAGACTCTGTAGCTCGCACTGTTGAACTTATAGATCAACACTGTGAAGTTGATTTTATTGACATAAATATGGGGTGCCCTATTGATATTATAGTGAATAAAGGAGCTGGTTCTTCTCTTCTTACGAAACCCATGAGGATGAAGAGCATTATTCAAGCAGCCAGTGGAACAACTGTGGTGCCATTAACTATCAAGGTTGATCCTTCTATCTCAATAAGCCTTAAGAGAAAAAAGTAACATCACCATTTTTAACTTGCATATTTCTTCGAAGTTCCTTAATTTTATTTTAAACTATACTTTTTTTTGTCTGATTAAAGGTTCGAACGGGGTTTTTTGAAGGAAGAAATCGAATTGATTCACTTATTTCAAATATTTATGATTGGGGAGCGGGCGCAATAACTGTACATGGTCGCTCAAGGCAACAACGGTATAGCAAGCTTTCTGACTGGAATTATATTTATCAGTGCACAAATAAAGCTCCTGCTGATCTTCAAGTGCTTGGAAATGGTGATATATTTTCCTATTGTGACTACAACAAGCACATGTCCGACTGTCCTGAACTTTCTACTTGCATGATTGCTCGTGGTGCTTTAATCAAGGTTTGTTAACTCTGCGTTCATTTGTTCTGTGTTAAATTTTGCGGTCAGGTTTTTAGAGATTTATGATGATTTTAATCCTTTTTTTCTTCAGCCTTGGATATTTACTGAAATTAAGGAACAAAGACACTGGGATATCAGCTCAAGCGAGCGGCTAAATATCATCAGAGATTTTGTGAATTTTGGTCTTGAACATTGGGGTTCTGATACCAAAGGTATGATGACCTGGTGCTTACTAACAAATTTTATCAGTGTGGAATAAAATTAGATTCATGGATATGAGGTCAATTAGATTATGTGAACGATGCCATTTTAAGGTACATGATTTTTAATGAAATTAAATAATGTAATGGGGAAATCACACAAACAGGATTTGAAATTCACAGTTTGAAAGAGGAAAATTAAATAATTATTCATGATCAAGAAAATATGAAGAATTCTTTCGAAAGGATAATTTAAGGATCAATTAAATTTAGAAAGTTCAACAAGTTGTAATGGGTTTTACTAAAATTAAGCACACTTGCAAAGACCAATAACAAGTTATTTATAAGAAAAGAGAATAATAAAATTGTTCATCACAATAGAGAAAAATTAGGCTTCACTTTGGAATAAGGAGAGATTTCTCTCGAAAATTGGTTGTTGCACTTACATCGCACTCCAAGAAATCAACATCCAAGTATCTAAATAAGATTAAAAGAAAATCAAAAAATTTATTAAGTTAAGAAGTTCTATGATGCGGTTGGCAACAGCCCAACTGCCCAGGTGGGGCCCATGACCTCCTTTATCACCTATAGGAGAAGAGGCTTTGGGCGTGAACTCTTTGGGAAAGGTATAAGGGAATTTTATTAGGGGATTTGGGCAGTTTAAGGGGGAATTTTCTCACCAGTTGGACTGATCTACTGCTACCCCTTCCTTGGATACCACATGCCCCAAGTATTCCACACTAGCTTGCGCGAAGCAGCACTTCTTCAAGTTAGCCATCAACTGGTGCTCCTGGAGAATCTCTAACACCTTCTTTAAGTGTCCCCAATGCTCCTCCTCTGTTCTGCTATATACTAAGATGTCATCGAAGAATACCAACACAAATCGCCTAAGATACTGTTTGAAGATCTTATTCATGAGTGCCTGGAACATGGCTGGGGCATTGGTGAGGCCAAAGGGCATCACTAGGAACTCATAGTGGCCCTCATGAGTTCTAAAGGCGGTCTTGGGCACATCTTCTTTTTTCATTCGTATCTGGTGATATCCTGATTTCAAGTCAATCTTGCTGAAAATCACTGTTCCACTCAACTCATCCAGAAGTTCATCAATCACTTGTATGGGAAACTTATCAGGTACAATTTCCTTGTTGAGTGCGCGGTAGTCTACACAGAAACGCCAGCTGCCGTCCTCACCAATAGAACAGGACTAGAGAATGGGCTAGTGTTGGGCCTGATGATCCTTGCTTCCAGCATTTCTCTAATCTACTTTTCTATTTCATCCTTCTGAAACTGAGGGTAACGGTAAGGTCGTATGTTGATAGGTGATACTCCCTCTCTTAATGTGATTGCGTGCTCCTGTTCCCTGGGTGGTGGCAACCCTATAGGTGGTTGAAAAACCTCCTCGAATTCTTGGATCAAAGGTTGCACAGAGAGGGGTATATGTCTCCCCCTTCCTCCACACTCACTCCCTCTAATCTGTGTAATTCCACCAAATAGCCTTCCCCCTCGGCCTGAATTGTCTTGATTAGGGATTTAAGAAAAACCCCTGCCTTGGTCAGCCCTGCATCACCTTGAATCACCCTCTTCCTTCCATCCTTCACCAACTCCATCCGCAGAGTGCCTCAATTGACCTTGGTTTCTCCCAATGTCTGCAACCACTTCATCCCTAGGATGACATTCGTACTCCTCAATTCTAGGGGAAGGAAGTCTTCCTTCACCTGTATGCCTTGGATTTTCAGCACCATCCCCCTACACTCCTCTTCCCATTTCTACCTTTCCCGTGCCCATCATCACTCCATAGCCTCCAATATCTACTAACTTCATCCCCAGCAGCTCCACAATCTGGGTGGAAATGAAATTGTGGGTTTCCCCACTATCTATCAACACCACGACTCCACGGTCAGCTATCTCTCCCTTCACCTTCATAATGTGACTCGGAGTGAATCCCACTACGGAGTTGAGAGAGACTTCTGCCACATCCAGATGCATCATTTCCTCCACCTCAGAATCGCTTCCCCCTCCCTCTTCGTCTTCCTCGTCTTCACAAACGAGGAGAACTTGAAGAGTTCGATCCTTGCACTTATGCCCAGGCATGTATTTTTCATCGCATCGGAAACACAACCCCTTTGCTCTCTTCTCTTGAATTTCCTTCTCTGTAAGCTTCTTGAACTGCCCCCCATTTCCTCCTCCTGTTGCTTTTTCCTTTGGAACTTCTTTCATCCCTCCACTGGATGCTTCTTTAGGGGCTAGGTGGGTAGTCGTCCACCTGTAAGTGCCTCCTGAGTTGCTATTCCTAGCTCCCTTCTCCAGATTCTTTTGATTTTCAACAAATTGTGTAGGCTTCATGGCCTCCCCCAGGTCCCTGGGCATCAGGACCTTCACCACTGCTTTGATATCAATTTGATAGGAAATACTCGAATTCAAGTATCTCCTAATCCAAACCAGTCAGAAATGATGACCAAACTGCTGTTGGCTGCAGGAAAACAGCAGTTTTTGTGAGGAAAACAGTGAAAACAAAGGAAAAACTTGAGATAAATCACTCCAAATGCTTGATATTGATGGTAGATGCAATAGAAAACAATAAAGATATAAGAGATCCTCTATTCGAGAGGAGGATCCACTCTCCCAATCTCTAGAAAACGATCTAGAGCCCTAGCCACAACAAAACAACAAGAGAACTTTTTAGAAAAATAACACATAACCCTAACCTTAGCCTTTACTTCCTACTTAGTGCATACAATTCAAAATTAATACAAAAGGACCTAATTACCCTTATTTCTCTTCCTTTTGGCTCCAAGATTGTATTTGAATCTCAAGTGGACCCCACCCTTTCCCCCCTCTTTGAAGCCGCTGGCCCCTTCTGCTGTAAACAAGCCGGCCCGACCCAGGGGGCTGGGCTGGCTGGACCGGTCCAAGGAGGACCGGTCTAATAGGTTTATGTTATGTTTTGAATTTCTGTAGCAGTTTTTGTTAGATTTTATGGTTCCTAATAGCTGCCAGGAATCGTGGGAGAGACGATTCACCTCTCAAACAGTGAATCAACTTGTATCTTGTTTTATTTTGATTAGAAATTAGTAAAAACAACTCTCTTGGTGTTATTTTTAGATCTATTTGGAGCAAATTGTTGTTTTTTATATTGCTATGTGTTGTTTTGATCATAAAGTCCTTTCAAACTGATATAAGAGCAAGATTCGGGACCTATGACGCCGAAGAAAGTGGATGCTTTGGAAGAGAAACTAGAAGGAGAAGTTTGTCAATTCAAATATGAAGTTGAGGGAAGGATTTCATCTATGGAAGGAAGGTTTTCTAACTTAGAGGATATGATGAAGAAAATATTAGAGCTTTACACCCAAACGACAACATCGGAGGCCAGGGCACTAGCAAGTGGGGGAAACCCCAGTATCAACATAAAGAGGAATAATCGAGAGGTAGAAATCTTGAGCGACAGGAAAAATATGCAACCATTGGATCCATAAGCCCTGCTCTCACATAGGCAATTGTAGCTATTGGCGCTAGGCACTAGGATTCGTATACTCCACAAAGGTCTCAACTGCTACTTGATGAGGGCGTCAGAGGTAGAAATCTTGAGCGACAGGAAAAATATGCAACCATTGGATCCATAAGCCCTGCTTTCACATAGGCAATTGTAGCTATTGGCACTAGGCATTCATCATTGGATCCATGAAGCCCTGCTCTCACTTGATAAGTCTATGGGGATGTTATAGATTCGTATACTCCACAAAGGTCTCAACTGCTACTTGATGAGGGCATCAGATTTCGACATGTATACCATCAGGAAAAATATGCAACCATTGGATCCATAAGCCCTGCTCTCACATAGGCAATTGTAGCTATTGGCACTAGGCATTCATCATTGGATCCATGAAGCCCTGCTCTCACTTGATAAGTCTATGGGGATGTTATAGATTCGTATACTCCACAAAGGTCTCAACTGCTACTTGATGAGGGCATCAGATTTCGACATGTATACCATCGCCAGAGACGCCGATCGACGGCCTTGATTCAGAGCCTTTATTTTTGATGCTTTAGTTTCTTTTTCATGACTTTATTTCACGTTTTCCTTTTGTACCCCTATGAGGGAATTAGTGTTATTTTACCGATCTTGCTAATTTAGGTGTAAGCTCTTGCCTAAGTGTAGTTGAACTCTAAGATCTCTAGAAAAGTCTCAATTGTGAACAATATTAAGTTTGATATTTCATCACTTAAACTATATTTTATTAAGCTTCTAAATTCAATTACTGGTTTCACATCACTACTGGAAACAAATGAGGGAGCTTGGGCGGCTGAACCATGGGAATCTGTTTGGATCAGCTGAGCAGCTTGGGGCAGCTGGGCAGAGGGAGCTAGGGCGAAACCATGGGCTGCTGTGTCCACGTTCTTTTTAATTCTTCGATGATAAACTTTCATTTCTATATTGTTGTCTTTCGTGCTCTTCCAAATATCTAACCCAATCATTGCATTGTTCTTGCACTGTTTTCTTGTCCAGTTGATTGTTTAGACATTGGATAATTTAATTTCATGACATCTTTTATGCGGATAAACTTGCATATCTCCATTCATATGCTTTCATTTTTTTTTCAATTTAGATTATTTTTTTTTTCAGAATTAATACATAATTATAGTTTTCTTTGTCATGTCTTAGGTTCGATTTGGAAATTATAATTTATTGTCTTCGTCAAAAAGAAATAAGGAGTCTAATGAGGCCAATGATGATGATCGTCATTTTCATTTAAAAAATCCTAGAAGTATAAGGCATCATTGTTTATTGGAGCAATTTCAAGGACGGGAGTTTTGGTCAAAAGCTCTATAGTTTCTACTGATTTTTGATTGGAAGTCAGGAGTTATATTTGAAACTTGATAATTTCGCTCAAAACTTCCTAAGACCCAAACATTTTGTGTATGTTCAATGTGTTTTTACTTGGGCCATTATTATATAATCATTTTATTTCATTATTGTATGCTAAAACTGATAAAGCTATCAAATTGTTGGAACTAAGACTTTAATTGTCCCAAATGGTACTCAAAAACAAAATTTTAATCCTTATTTGAACTTAGCCATCTGACTAATGCTATTCAAAAGAAAGTATTATTTACCACATGGTTTGTCACACTCTGAGTTTGGATGGTTGTACTCAAAAGAAAAATTCATATACAAATAATATAAACAAGACATATAATAGCAAATAATAGAAAGTAAATTAACATGTTATTATATTAATATGAATCATAATAGGATACATCAAGGAAGTATGATTAATAACATAAAAAAAAAAAGAGAAACTGAAAGAAACAACTGTAGAAATAAAATTATGAAACCCAAAAGAAAAACGACTAAGAGTATCACATAAAATTAATATACCAAATAAGATCCTACTATTGATGTGTTTGCTTCTGTTGTGATGCTCCATAAAATTTATTAAAGCATACTTGACAATGATTTGGGAATATAGTATGAACAATTAAAGGGCACAAATAATTATATAACAGTAGACAATTAGTGTCAGCGTATCCTTAGGTTAAATTAATATTGGCATGTCACATGTCTTAAGGCATATTTAGAAATGGTGATGTTCATGATATTCTACCATATCTATATGCAATCATATTGTGTATTGTATTATACCTTTACATATAACTCAACCGTCATTTATCATTTTCACTTTATATATGTTTATATATTTATAATGATTTTTTTTATAGTCGTCACTATGTGATCTTGTCAGTCCGACTAGTCAATATCAGAAAGGGTTCTTCTAATCTATTTACAACTATAGAGGCATACAATTTTTACATTTTTCAAATTATTTGAGATCCAATCAAAAGTGAGACTTAACTCGAAGGTCCTCCAAACAAAAACCTAATTTAATATCTAAAATCATATTATAGACTAAACACGTGGAAACATAAAACTTAATCTACCGAAATTCGGAATACCATAAGATCAAATATGGTCTTCAATGCATAAATTTTGATTTGTATATATCCATCATCTACATAAGGTTTTTTTACGTGGATATGAACTTGGTGGTTATGCTGTGACCTTGTTGGAGTCATTCGTTTGATAGGAGATTCAAGGCTTTGGCTTCATTTGGGACGACTTTTTTACTATTTCTTGAAGCAGTTTTTTAGTACAAATTTTTTTTATTTTTTAACTAAAAAGCTGCTTTAAGAAGCAGTAAAAAAACCATCCCAAACGAAGCTTTATTCTATCATTTTTCTACTTGCGCAAGCTTTACCATTCAGCTATTCCAGATTCTAATTTTTCTGTACAGGTGTTGAAACAACCAGACATTTTCTGCTAGAGTGGCTCAGTTACACCCATAGGTATATTCCAGTTGGTATTTTAGATGTTATCCCACAGCGTCTTAATTGGAGGCCACCAAGCTACTTTGGTAGGGATGACCTTGAGACCTTAATGGCTTCCGACTCTGCTGCAGACTGGGTATGCAGTCTAACTCAGAAAATTTATTAAATACAACTTGCTATTTTATGAATGATTATAATCCCTAAAGCTTAATATAATTACTCTCCTCGCAGATTAGGATATCCGAAATGCTGCTTGGCAAGGTTCCAGAAAGCTTTACTTTTGCACCAAAACACAAATCAAATGCTTATGATACAGCTGAGAATGGCTGATATTGCTTTTTGCACAGCTGAAAGATGATTATTGTAGGCATCACCTTGCCCAGTCTGGCTGAAGGAGATTTCTGAAGTATATTTGTTTGGCAACCTTCATCCTCGACACAAGCAGAAGTCTCGCTCTTAGTTGTGGTATTAGGTTTCGTTTGGGACGACTTTTTTATTGCTTTTTAAAATAGAGTTTTAGCACAAAAAATTTAATTTTGTACGAAAATTATGTTTTAAGAAGCAATAAAAAAATCGTCCCAAACAAAACCTTAGTGTGCAGGCGCTCTAATTTGTTGTACTGAATTGCTTGTATTTAAATTTTAACTGAAATTGCACACATTATCAAGAGTTTAATCTTATAAATTGTTCATTAATTTATCAAAAAATGGGCAGATGCATAAATGTTAACCTAATTTATTCATTGAAGAACAGTTTCATATCTGCTTTTGGGAGCTTTTGGCTTCATTTGGGATAGCTTTTTTATTGATAAAAATTAAAATTTTTGTACTGAGAAGCTGCTTTAAGAAGCATAAAAAAAAGCCGTTCCAAACGAAGCCTTTATCTATAACAAAGGCTATATTTTGTGGGAAATTGGAAGCAATGCATTTTATATGTACACGAACAAGGATGGAACATTGCAGATATTTTGTACAGCACAGAGAATATTCCAACAAAAAATATAATAAATAAATAATCAGTTAAAAGCTTATATTATTTTACTTACAAATTAAATTCAATATGAAATTCATCTGATAAAACATTTGGGTGGGTCGGGTCTGTTGGGTTGGTGTGGTTTGGTAATGTATGATTGACCTAATCCCTCAACTAGTTTGAGACAATTTAGAGGAATTTTGCTTCTCTATTTATATTTAATTTCTATTAAACAAATTCTTCACCTAAAATTTGAAGCTGTAGTTTCAACTCATTGTTTTGTAAAAAAAAAATGTTTAAGACTTCATTTGAGATGATTTTTTTATTATTTTTTAAATAATTTTTAATATAAAAAATTAATTTTTTATATTGAAAAGATATTTTAAAAAGCAGTAAAAAAATAGAGGCTTTGTTTGAGCCGTTTTTTTATTCCTTTTTAAAACAGCTTTTTAGAATAATTTTTTTTAATAAAAAAATTATTTTAAGAAGCAATAAAAAAATCATTCGGAGTTTAAGTATTGTCTCTAACATTCATTGAAACTATCTTCAGCGGGAAATTATTGTGTACGCAGTCCGAACGCAGGGATAGGTTCGGATGCTGCGTATTTACTGTTTATTTGTTGCGTATTTTTTGTTATTTAATTTTTTTCTACGATATTTTTTGCGTATTTATTGTGTATTTAGTGAGTATTATTTATTTGTTATTTTTTGGCACAAAAAAATTTTGTATAAAAAATATGCAATAAATAAGCAATAAATACGCAGCATCCGAACGCGTTCGGATTACGTACACAATAATTTCTTCAGCGGAGGTTCTGGAACCCTATTATTTCAACTCCATTTGCCATCCTCCACCTTCCATTAACCATGCTGATGAGCTATGGTTGCCAATTTTCAATGAAGGTGAAGTATTTTGAGGTTATCGTGGCCAGTTCTCTAGAAGATGTGACATATTTTATATTATTTAGAAAAATGGGTTAGATGTTTTGACCTAATTTTGATCGGCTAAAAATTAATATATGATATGTGAAAGTTGAAAAAAAAAGAAAAAAAAAATGATATGTGATACAAAATATTTTTAAGTGAATGCTTCATTTTTAATATTTTATTATTTTGTTGAATATTTAGAATTTATTTGGGATGACTTATGACTATAATATTTTATAAAGTTAGTTGTACAGTTATTATTGAGAAAATAAGTTTATGATTATGATTATAGAGAATAGTTTTTCACCAAATAAAAATTTGAAAAACAATAAAAATGTAGCAAGTAGTAGTTAAATGAAATTGTGATTGGTATTAAAAAACAAAGCAATAAAAAAACTGTTCTAAACAGGAAAAATTATTATGTGCCTTGTCCGGACGCGTCCAAGGGCAATCCAACCTATACAAAACCCAATGCATTATGTTTTTGATGACATGGCGCGCCCAAATGGACCATGATGACTGCCCGACAGAGATCACCAATGTTAGGTTATAAATAAAATTTATATTTCTACTACAAAACTATTCAAAAGTTGACATTTTCAGTTGAAAGATCATAAACTTAACCAAACAATATTGAATAATTGACATTATAATTATATATATATATAGTATATAATAAATGTTATTATATATAGAAAATTGAAAATTTTTGCATTGATAAATTTCAACGAAACAGTTTGTTGCAGTTGAAAAAAAAATTACAAACAACTTCAAGAGAATGAGGCTACCATCATAGCAGATTCCTAGTAAAAAAAAAAAAAAAGTAAATAACATTTGTTGCGTGCAAGGTTATGTCGATAGAAAAATAGAATTTTTGTCTTTGACATGGCCAAATTTTGGCACATAATATAACAGAAAAACAAAAAATCTTTAAGCGAAAAAACTTCGAGGAAAAGAAAATTATAAGGGCTTATTTAGTCAGAACTTTTTTACTAATTTAAGGTTTCATTTGACATAGCTATCAGATCATAATTATACATAATTTTTATTTGATCATTACTTTTTATTGCTTTAAAAAAATTATTATAAGAAATTGTTTTCTACAACAAATGAAGGACGGCCCTAAGTCCGACGGCGGTTGTCGGCTCGGCGAAGGTCCGACGGCGGTGGCGGTTTGGCGGCTGGTGGCGGTTCGATAGTCAAGCTGAAGTCCGGCGGTGGTCGGCAGCAGGGCGGTGGTCCGATGAAGGTCGAACTGATGTCCGACGGCGGTCGTCGGCCGGCGAAGGTCCGGCGGTTGTTGGCGTCCGGGTGAAGGTCCGACTGCAGTCATTGCCGGACGAAGGTCCTTCGGCGATCGGTGGCCGGGCGGTGGTCCAACGAAGGTCAGGCTGAAGTCCGGCGGCATTTGTCTGTCGAGGCAAGGTCCGGCAGTGGACAGCGGCCGAGCGGTTGTCTGACGAAGGTTGGGCTGCAGTCGCGGCGGGTTGGCTGTCGGGCGGTGGTGCTAGAGCTCTTGAATATTCAGAGCTCTCTTGAATATCTAGCCAAAGGTCCCCTTCATTTAGAGAATGAGGGTCTATTATAAAATTTTCATGAGTAATACACCCCGTAAATTTAGAGAAGATTCGGTGCAGGTTCGGAGTGCTCCATCGGATGGCTCATACTGATTCCCCGATTGTAGAGAGTTTTTTAACTGTTTAAGTGGCTTAACGATGTCAAAATTCAGAGATCTTTGGGCTCGTTGGATTCATCTCGCCGAGCCAATCGATTGGACTATAAGCATGCTATATTTGGATATTATTTATCATCCAAATAATACTTTGACCCTTCAAAATGTGGTCCGGGCTATAAGCATGCTATACTTGACCCATTTGGGCTTGGGTTAAAGTATTATTTGACCCTTCAAATGATCGATTGGACTATAAGCATGATATACTTTGTCCCTTCAAAATGTAGTTCCAAATGAGCTGATCGATTGGTCCAAATAATACTTTGACCCTTCAAATAATATTTTGGTGTTGTTTGGTTTGTCTATTTGAGATGTTCAGTTTGGCTATAGATTTGTCGAAATTGGAATTCATATGATCCAAATTTAATTTGAAAGTTTTCAACTTGACTATGCCTCGAGATTCGTATTCGATCAAAGCAAATTTTTTTAGGAGAGAATCAGTATATAAACATAGTTGTTAGGTAGAGGATGAATATAATAATTATAAATAAATTTATAGGAGTTAGAAAGAGTGCGAGCTAGAGCTTGCATGAGTTAGACAAAGAAAAATTTATCTTCATATTTTTAACAAAGAAATCACAATGCATTAAAGTCTAAGAAAACATATTAAACCTATTTCTCCCCCAGAGAAGGAAAGATATTAGATTAAAACACACACCAAAAAAAAAAAAAATTTCTCTCGCTTCTCATTGTAAAAGGTAGAATTATTGGCTCATAAAGTTTTGCTTCAAATATTGTATTTTTAGAAAACCGAGAGTTTTTTAAGGACTTGTGATTTTTAACGCGCAGACTCTCTGAGAGTTTTATCAGAAAAAAAAAAAAGATTAAAGAGAAATGCTATGCTAAGAAGATAAACTAATTTAAACTTCAATCACGACAAATTTAATTAAACGAGTCACCAAAAATACCCAAATAAAAATATATGACATTCTCTTCTCTTTATTTTATTTGTTCAAGTAAGAAAATAGATGACTAGTATATACATGGAACAAAGTATATAATTATTAAATACCATCTAAAAAGGTCATGAATACACTAATAAATACTAATTTAATCAAACTAAAAAAATTATCCACGTATATAGACGCAAATCACATGTTCAAAAGCCAATTCATAAAAGTTAGCTAAACCAACATTTTTTCTGAACATATATTGGCCAATTTACTCTTGAAGCTATTTCTTGATCAAGCAAACTGTGGCGAGCACCAGAATATTTAAGGTTTGCTTGAGATGACTTTCTTACTACTTTTTAAAGTAGATTTTTAATGGAAAAAATAGAAATTTTTTGTACTAAAAAACTGC